GAAAAGGTGGCGGAACTCAAACCTGGCCACGCCCTCATCAAACCCTAGGACCGCCCCTTTAGAGAACAGGAATGCAAGTAAAATTTGGGAGGGGCTATTTCCGGTGTGGGAGGGGCTATTTCCGGTGCGGCCGGCCCGGAAAAAGGTGCCGGAACGCGGTTCCGCCGCGTTCCGGCTGAAAAAAAGCCCTGTGTTTACTTGTATTTGAATATCAGCCTAGGTTGGTTTGGGAAGTCCGGGGGGTGGGGGGATGGGATATAATATTGTGAAATATTTGTGATGTATTTCTTTTTTTTTATGATAAAAATAAAAATTTTATATTGAGAAAAAAAGATGCTGGCCTAGAAATCAGGAGACTGTGAGTTCTAGTCCCTCCTTAGACATGAAAACTGCTGAGTGACAGGGTTGCCGTTGTGGGGAAAATAGGAAGAGGAAGGAATATTATGTATGTTCAACATCTTGATTTACTTATAAAGATGGGATTAAAAATCTAATAAATAAATAAAATTAAAATTAAAAATTAAATGACCAAAATAAATTACAAGAGTGAGCTTTTGAAAAAATAAAGGAATCTAAAGAACATATGGCCACTGTAACTTAATGCCCAAGTCAAAAGGGTTTCCTTGAGACATACTAAAACATTACAAATAGCATAATAACTTTTAAATTTTAAATCATATTTACTGTAACTTTATATTTAGGACTGAAATATTTGATAGGAAAATTTTGAGGAAGTCATGGTTGAAAGGATCTTCTCAACCATGCAACCTTGTTTGTACTTTCCCCAAGTACTAGATAAAGACTTTTTAAAAAGAGTCCAGGCTTTTAACATCTGTAAAGGAAAAAGGTAAAGGTTTCCCCTTTTCCAACTCTAGGGGGCAGTGCTCATCTCCGTTTCTTAGCCAAGGGAGCCAGCATTATCCGAAAACATTTCCGTGGTCATGTGGCCAGCATGACTATATGCCAAGGTGCACAGAATGCTGTATCCTTCCCACTGAAGTGGTACCTATTTATCTACTCGCATTTGCATGCTGTCAAACTGCCAGGTGGGCAGGAGCTGGGGGAAGGAACGGGAACTCACCCCGTTGCACAGCACTCAGATCTCGAACTCAAATTGTCAGCTTTCCAACTGACAAACTCAATGTTTTAAATCACTGAGCCATTGCACCCCTTCTTAATATCTGCACTGGTTTACAATGGGTTTTGCTGCCATTTCATTTATTTTACTCATTGTATTTGAAAGCATTTTATAACTTTAACTTCAAAGCTACTCTAGAACTATTGTGATATTTTCAATGAACATCTACTGTCACTTCAGGCATATATAGAATGCCCTACAAAAAATAATTTATAGACGACTCAGAATTCGACAGTTTTTATTGTTGGGTTTAACCAATTACAATGTATAAAACAAAGTATGGTTTAGCTTCAAGATATTGCAAGTTGTTGACATATTGTTTCTCCTGAGCATCATCCTGTATAATTTTTGCTGAAGAGGCTAAAAATTGACTATTGGGGTATTTCAATAATGTACTGAAAAACATAAGAGATTTAGATTTACCATCAAGTTAGAGTAAGGCTTAGGGTTAAGATTCAAAGAATCCTCAACTAAACCCAGTACGGTAGTTTTTACATTTAAGTGTGCTATAAAAATGCATCATCTAAGAATTCTGAATGCTACTGATTATGCAGCCAAAATGGAATCATGTATAAATGAAGAGACACTATCAGCCTCTGTGGAAAAATCCCAGTCCGAAAACATAAAGCTTTCCTTAGAAAAATTATTGAAAAAGATAGGGCTTAAATAATGCTTAAACAAGCCCACTGAGGTCTGTGAATGCTTAATGGGCGTAGATTGTTGAGAGAGAGAAATATATATGAAGATAGAAATAGAATGAAATCTAGGCTTCCTTCCATACTGCAATATTTTATTATAGCTTTAATTCACATATATCACTCATCTACAGCTTAACATTATGTAACCAAAGGGAATAACTTACTGTACATGAAAGACTATTGGCTTAGGGATAAGTAATATGGTATGTTCCTGCAGCTCACCTAATCATATATTTTTCAACAAGAGACCTGATATTCATAGTGAGTCAAACAAAGAAAAATAGACACAGCAGACTCTTGAAAGTTTTCTAGTTTTGATCTAGATACCGATGAGACCATACAGAAATATAAAATTCTAGAGGCTTCTGTTCCACTTAGGACTATCTTAAACATTGTAATCAGACAACTGCAAAAACTGCAATGTGAAACTGCAATGTGATATTAACAATATCAAGTAGAGGTCATATCAAGCAGAATAGCGAATGGAGATCTGTCTAAGGAAAGTTTCTATATTTTATTAAGTCGCTCTCGTTAGCAAAACTCTTACTTGCTCTTGTATCACCGCCTTCAGCCAATATGCAACCGTGTAGTAAGAACATTAAAACTGTCTGAAGAAATGTTATGTTCTTTGCCATGTATACAGTATTTTGTGTCCTTCAAATCCTAAAATAGACTGGGGAAAATACAAAATATTTTAAAACAGTATTACAATATTAAAACAATGATATAAGAAAATGTGAAAGCAATGTATATAAATGGTTATGGCTTCCTGTAAGATTAATCAGTGTAACGGACTGGTTCAGCCAGTTGTATTATATGACTAAATTATCTTTGGTGAGTTAGGATTGACCTAAAATACTAATTTTTAATCTGAAGAACCTTAATCATAAGAAATTAATGTCAATAGGGTCCTCTATCACTAAGTGTCATAACAGTCAAAACTTCAACACAGTAAATCCTCCATCTATAATATACTGGGATATTCTATCATTGTCTTGGATTGAGCCATATCTGTCCAAATTTCTAGATATATCAGACATTTAGTAACTACACAACCAACTCCATGTGATACAAGCCTGGTTATATACAAGGAGTTGAGGAACTCTTGCACATTGTTCCTGTGGTAAATACTTATTATTAGAAATCAGTATCACAAAGGCCTGCATTCCAAAACCTAAAATAGATCAGAATACAAAAATTGCCTCGGGTATACAGAAATATGTGCACATTTTATTCTAATGTGTAGTAAAATTTCTATACGAGATAAAATCATATGAAGAATCCAGTACAGGTTGAGCTCCAAGACATTCTTTCAACAAATTGGTACCTTCTAGAAATTTTATTCTGTTACGTAAGTGTGGGATAAGTAGGAAGGCTAATCCAACAAAGTCCCAAAAAGAATGTGAAAAATACAGAACGGCCTTCTGCAATTCACTAGAACCAGGGTTAGTTCAAAACATTAGATAAATCTGTTCAAATAATTATAGTACATTTCAGGGCAAATCACACTGCTTTATAAACCCAATTTACAGCTAGAAGGGTGCAAAACATTTCAAGTTAGGAATAGTTCTTTGAAATCAGAAATTGTTTTTGTGACTGTTCTAGAACTGCTTTCCATTCAAAAGCTCTTTTCATGCTCAAAGCTGATATGGTTTGAGCTTGAAATATTTCTGAATAATTTGAAACTAGTGTTTTGAATTCAAAACATTTTGTATATCTTCATTTATACCTGGCTGTCAGGTGCAAAGAATCAGGATCATCCGCATAGACGGCAGTATAAACAATTATTGAAGCCTATACCCAAGAATCAAATCAAACAACAGTCAGCACTAAATTGGCGCTAAATAAGGATCAAAAGAATTGGGGTGTGTGTGCTGGACTTGGATCTCTTATAGCAATGCAAAGAATCTAAACTGATAATGATTTTACTCCACCCTCCACCTTTACCTGCTGTTCTCCTACAGTAACTATTGTGAAACATTTTCCCGCTCTATATGCTAAGGCAATTTAAAATTTATGATTAGGGCATGACCAGATTACAAAGAATTAGTTATTTTGCCAATCAGTGCTAGCTTCAGGATTCTGCAAGAGCTAGGGTAAGATACTCTAAGTGAATTGCTCATGCTAGTATACTAGAAAGATATTGCAAAACCACTGATGCTACTTCAGCTTGATATGGCATATCACTCTTTAATCTGTTCATTTTCTCATTAGGGCCAAAGATCTCAATTTAGCCAAGCCTGGCACTCAGACAAATCAATCATCAACAGGCACATAGAGATAAACAACATCTAGATATCATTCAAAACCAACAATCAAAAAGCCAAAAAGAAAACAAAAGGAATAAAACACCTCCTCCCCAGCAATCAACACCCAAATAACCATAAATTAATACCAAGATTAATACTAAGCCAGCAATCAAGCAGTAAACAATATTTCACTTAAGGAACCACCACTCAGACAATCAAGCAATAAGCAATAGCCCAGTCAAAGAACCACCAAGACAATTCCCACCAACACTGATATAGGGCAAGCCACTTGTATATCAACAGAGAGTTACCCCACTGCCTTCCAACGCTGATGATGTTGCTTAGTTGAGTAATGAAATGTCTGTTAGCAAACAGCCAAGCTCAGAGAGCACCACAGACCTCACAGGGCTCAATTTAAATGGCAGTGGTGTGGGCCTTTAACTCTACATTTGGTCCCACTTCTAAACTGCAGTTTTGTGAATCATGTTATATAAATCTACTAAAAAATCACTATATACGATTATAGAAATACTGTCTATTACTGAGTTTTGATTCAGATCAAAAGGTTAATGTATTTTGTATTTGTAACTGTTTAAAAAAAAACATCAGAAATTATGCTTTTTTAATTTTCTTTTTCCCTTTTCCCTTGCACTTCTCCCTTTCCTATATTTTTGTCAACATTCTGTTTTTTCATTTTTTGAAGAATTTTAATAAAATATAATTTTTAAAAATAGTTATACAACGACAGATTAACCAAATAAATATAGCCGTATAAGCTTATTTTTTTTCCTTTCGTCATCATCAATATTATGAAAGTTTCTTGAAGCCCATAGCCATCTGTAAAGGGCCAAGTTCAACAATAGCTCAACAAAATATTCTTCAATATTTGTGGCATTTGACTTAAATACAGAAAATAAACATTTATCCAAATCTACAAAACAGAAATGTAACACAAGATATTTCTGGAAAGGTATCACTATTTATCCAGGACCTGGTACCAATCACTCTGCCAATGACCTGTTACAAAACTTCTCAAGCACTATAAAAATGTGCAGACCTACTTTACAATATGCCAAATTTTAATCTAGCATACATAAATTTCCTGAGGGATGTAGTTCTATGTAACTAAATAGTCATTTCCTTTCTTTTACAAAGAGCAGCCAAGGGAACACAAAGGATAAGAGCAATCAGCCATTATATACCATCATCTAGCAGAGTATGCATGTTATATTAACAAAGATTATAACACAACAAAAAAGCCACTTTTCACAAGCTTTTGACTTCACAAGCAGCAATCCAAGTATTCAGAATTTGATAATGAGTGGATAAGATTGAGGAAAGAGAGCGTGATGGAAGAAGTATTAAGATATTAAGATAGTATTAAGATATTAAGTATTAAGACAAGTAGTCCTTGACTTACAATCATTTGTTTAACAAAGGTTCAAAATTACAACGGTCTCGGAAAAAGTTCTTTATAACCTGTCCTTGAAGTTAGAACCTTGTCAGTACCCCCATGGTCACATCAACCGGCTCGCATTTACAACAATTGCAGCATTGTGTGGTCACGCGATCACTATTTGTGACCTCCCCAGTTGGCTTCCGACAAAGTAAATTCACGAAGCTGGATTCACTTAACAGCCACATGATCAGTTTAATGACCACCGTGAATTGCTTAATGACTGTGGTAAAAAAATAGTGGTAAAATCAGATCTAGCCATGTGAGGATTTGCTTTAATGACCATAGTGACTTACAATGGTAATCTCAATCCCAATTGTGGTTGTAAATCAAAGACTACCTGGAACAGCTGTAATGTGCTACAGTTGGTGAGTTTAAACAACCTAACTATATGCAAAATTTTAGCTGGAATATGTTTCATCTTAAGCATCAAGGGGGTACGATCACTGTTTTCTTTCACTTGCTTATTTACACTAAAATACTGTAATGTCTAGAGTTTATGATCATAAGTCAGTGAAATGCTGTATCTTGGATTGTCCCCAAAAACGTAATAATGATTGATTGATTGAGTGTGTGCTGGCTGACTGATCACAATCCAATGGCCAAGCACTGTTACCCATTTTTTAAATTCTCTATGAATAAAGATTTGGTCATTTTAGACCTGAATTAAGCTTTGCTACAAGATAAGAAAGTATAGACCTAAGGTCTATATTAACCATAGTGTAAATGGAACATCAGTTTCTGACATCAAACAAAAAATTGCCACTAATTTTTAGGCAGAAGTTAAAATAAAGGGCCATAATACACATGATGAAGGAGCAAAGATTCCTGTAGGATGACAGGTTTTTGCCCTTATTATGATCCCTGCCCGCACCCAATAGCTATACTGGAGATCCATACGTTAAGACCTATCATATTTTTCTTCTTATTTAGAGCATATGCAGGAATCTCTGTTTTTCATTCCTAGCAAATGATAATAGGGATATTATCATATAGGGATATTCAGATAGGGATAGGGATATTCAGGCTCTATTTGCTTGCTATTTTTCTGATTAATAATAATACACAATAAGGAAAATATTATTTTTATCATTTGTTTGTGTTGACACTAGAGCGGAGGGAGGGAACAATGTAATGTTCTCCTGGGGGAAATAAATGCCATTTTTTACTATTTTAGTCCCAGTATGACTAATAACCATTTAGATGAAGTGCTAGAATTAGTTAAGCAATACTTACAGAAGAAAGACTCAATCATCAACTTTCCCATAAGCCAGTGTCCCAATCAAAACTCATGCCAGTTCAGTTTTAGACGATTTAATAAAGCAGTCTATAAAACCTTGCAAACAAACTTGTTATGGTCCCGTACGTTTTAAAATAGGAACTGTTAAGGGCTATTGCAGCAAAACCTAGCAAACATCTGTCATCAAAATATTATTCAGCACGTTTCGCAAACAGGTAGATCCCTAGGCATCTGGGAGGATTTAAACCCTAATTCCTCCATCAACTTGAGGAAAGTAAGAATGAATTATGAAAGAAATCTGCCCTTTGCTTTCCTATTATTTCAGCAACATGCCTTTCTACTTTATTCCCAGATAATGTTAGTTTGAATATAATTAAAGCCCCAGCGTGAAGGAATCAAACCCCCATACTGTATTCATATACAAAAAATAATTATTATCAACAGTGGATAAACCCTTAAATGCAGGTGAAAATTCTGAAATTCAATCAGTTCCATGGACCCAGCCCACTTCACCACAAGAATTCTAGATAAAGTCCAAAAGCCTTTGCCACAGAGAACACTTATTTGTCAACTGCGGTTAAGAAATTCTGAATCCTCCACTGCCAGATCCACTTGCTATTTATTAATTTTGTCAAAATAAATTGCAGAGCCCAATTCTTTATTGCTGCCAGAAGAGGCAGTGTCAGTGACATGTGTCACCT